ACACTTCTTATCAACTGTCTGTACTGGGCTACCTTGATTATCACTTCTAAAAGTTTTTTTACTTCTTACTTAATTGGTCTCTCAGAATTGGTAAGACAACTCCCACCTGTTTATGCTCTCTGTATGTGTGTGTATATATATATATATATATCCTCAATATTTATTCCACTCTGTATGCATCCGAAGAAGTGGGCTGTAGTCCACGAAAGCTTATGCTCTAATAAATTTGTTAGTCTCTAAGGTGCCACAAGTACTCCTGTTCTTTTTGCGGATACAGACTAACACGGCTGCTACTCTGAAACTATTGGGAATGTAGACCTACTCTAACTGGTAGTTTCTGAGATGCATTCTGTTTACCAGTGTTATTCCGTGCACTGGGGAGAGTATCCGCTCTGCTGTAGCCCTCTTCAGGGGTGCCACATACTCCCCATTGCTTGTCAGTGCATTTAATGCCCCAGGTCCTTTTGGAAAAAAGTGTGCTCCCACATGTGTGCGAAGGGAGTAGTCCTTATACCCCATGAAATGATTCCTATCTGCCACTCCTGCTCAGTCAACATGTATCCAGATAGATTTAGAGAGTATAGATTTTCCGTGTATATCAGCTTCCAGACAAATCAAGAAACAAAATAATTGTATTATAACCTTTCCTTATTTCCTAAATGTATATATTTTTGAGCTTTTATGCCCACATATTTAAAGGGGCATCTGTGTGGCTTCTTATTTTACTCTCATTCAGTACTGTTTAAATGTCTTTTCCCTTGTTCTTGAGTGATTTCTCACCTTGGAATGCTTAACCATGCCACAGTAAATTTCCCTTAGCCTAATGTTCATGAAATTTCTTGGGGTTTGGGGGGGGGGGAGAAAGACGTTCCAGAATATAGAACTATTTAACTAAGCACTCCTAGAACTGTGTCCTGCCATTTTCACTAAACGTACAATACTGGGGCTTGTCTAGACAAATAGCTAGTGTGCTTCAAGCTGGGGTAGACTCTACAATCACATGCTAGAAGTTGTTGTTTTTTTTAAACTATTCTTTTTGATTGAGAAAACGGGTGTTTTTAAACTTAAAAAAAAATCAACTTTGGGTAGCAACCAAGCCTGGAAAATTTCAACTGGAAAGCTGAAAATATTAGACATTTATGAGTTACTGAAAATGGGGAATAGAAAGGAACTCATAGGCAACTTTGTTTTATCATGTAGTTGTCATTACTACTCTAGCTGTACTATAGCTGTAATTGCTATACATATAGGACTATAAGGTGGTAGGTTTTAGAATAATTTAGCTATCATATCCCACTATACATGCATATTCTGAACATGTCATTTGTGTTATTGAAAAACTATTTTAGAAATATTTTTTTTTAATGATTAGGACTATTTTTTGTATCACTCCACCTGTAAAGGTACATCCATTAGTTACAATTGGTTCATATATACCAGACATACAGGGAAACATAAAAGCTCTACTAAAGTTACAATTTTAAAATTCAATGTGTAATAATTTCCAGGGCTAAAAGCCAGTGCTGGGTCTTATTGGTGAAAAAAGGGGAATTCTCTCTTTACAGGACTTACGCTTCATTTCTAACCAAATCCAAAGTTGACTTAAACTTGTCAGAAGCCCAGGAAAAAAATTGTAAATTCCAGGCCTCAGGCAGCTGTAATTTGGAAGAGGCCAGGTGAAGGATACTTGAAACAGTTTCTGACAAATTTTTAAGAGTTTGGAATATTAGAAGTAGTCCAAGCTACATTATATTTCCATTTTAGGTTGCATAAATGTTGTGTAGCATAACTGTTACTAACAAGATATATGGAAAAATGTGTTCAAGTGTTTGTTTAGATTACTGTATAAGGGGAAATAATAATTGAAAAGGAAAGTGTAATTGTTTACGAGGATAGAAAGGCCATGTGGTTAAGGTTAGAACTCATTTATATAGGTCAAAGCTTGTTTTCTTCCTCTTTTCTTCATATCCTTTTCATCTAGAGAAGATGTAAAAGTAAATGTCTTTCATCAGTAGACTTTTGTAATACTTATTTTGGATAACAGTATGTTAGAAGTAATGCTATGGCATTAATTTACATCATAAATTCATTTTTTTCTCATGAAAATCTATGTACATGCATGTTTCCTTACATGTGATTATCTTCTTTTCTTTCAAGTCTTTTTCTTCTCTACCATTTCCAACAAAGCAGGGGAAAAAAATCAGTCTTAGAAGAAGGAGACCGTCAAAGAGTAATAAGCAGCTTTGCTTCACGTGCTATTGAGGCTCACAAGCAGTCTAATTTCAATGGATCGTTGAACAATAATCTCCCCAAATCTGCAAGTAACATTACATTTTTATCTGATGAGAACCCACTAACAACTCAGAATCCTTTGTATATGGAAGGTGTTGTTCAAGGTTCTCCCAGCTCTTCATTGCTACGGAAGAGGAAAGATATTTTAGACAGTCTTTCACCTAGAAGATTAGCCTTGAAAGATGCCCTTTTGGGGTGCCCTTTGGGAGGCATTCACCGTGCATGGACATTACCAATTCGTATTACTAGGAGACATGTGTCTGATGCTCTAAGTAGGCCAATTATCATGGATCCAGTTCAGTGGCAACAGGAAAGACTCAAAGCAGAGAGTGAAAGAACTGACAATCAGCACAGCAGGGTTGATATTAGCAGTCCAATATTTAAAAAAATTATTGGCACCAAGTTAACTGTAAAAGAGAAGGCCAGACAGTTTGAGCAACAGGCTTTGCAGGAAATGAAACAAGTGAAATCCTATGATATGAAATGTTCACATTCACCAACACACAGCAACTACCACGAAGGAGAAAACATGCTAGAGTTGTCTCCTGAATGTCTGCTTGCTTCTCCATGCCATCGCTCTCCTCCTTTCTCCTCTTTGACACCTTCTACTGAAGTAGTTGAATTTCAATCACTTGCAGTTCCTTCAGTAATCATCACTCATCATGACTGTCCTGAAGAACTTTCTCCTCCACCAACTCACAAACCGCCAACTCCTTCTTTTAGGATAAAGAAACCAGTTTGCCAAAGTTTTCTGGCTGCTCAAACCAAAGTGGAAGTAACAGAAAGCATTCCAGATCCACCCAAAACTCCCCCTCCTCCACCACCCCTGCTGCCGCTTCCTCCTCCAACTCCTCCTCCATTGCCACCACAACCTCCATCTCTTCCTACCATTTCTCTAGCCCTCTCCTCCTCATCTACTCTAAGTACCCAGCACCTTTCCCCTGTAAAGCATACTAAGTCCCCTGCCAAACAGCTACCAGTATCATCACAGGCCACAGCACCTGAGCCACCACCTCACAGGGAGTTGAAAGGAATTCTCAAAAATATTCACAACTTAGCAGATATTGAAAAATCTGTGGCCAACATGTACAGTCAAATAGACAAAAACCACATTCTACCCAAGCACATATCCAAGCTTAAACCAATTTCAGCATCCGAACTGCCAACTACAGAAACTGTTGCTGAGCACAGCCAGCAGAATGGCAACTTGAGCTGTATAGTTGAGGAACTTGAAAAGCGATTTCCATCCCAGTCCACTGCATTATAAAATTACAGTTGAATTTTTTGAATATTTTCTTGTTATATTTTGTATGACATGGCTATCACAGTACATGTTATCTGCCTCATATGTTCCATAGTTAAAGTACTTCAACATTGATGAAAGAATTCAGACTTTTTTCCTCTTTGCTATATATTGCTATTTGTTTGTTCCTGATGCTAAACCTACAGTCCATTTTCTTTGTCTGATCACTCATAACTTTGTAATGTATAATATTTTTAAAGGTAGTTCTGTCCACTCTGCATTTTACTGTTTTATTATGCTGATTTATTTTCTTTGTCTGCATGCAAAAGATGCATGGGGGGAAATGTCCCTTTAAAACCAATGAACTATATGTAGCAGGCATATGTTGACACTGCTTTATTCTAAACACTCTGCATTGTTTTGTCACAAGGGTACTCTAGTGTTGTAGGTTATGTCAATAAGCAAGGCAATTATCCTGAAATACTGAAGGCATATCTTGCTTTACCCATAAAGTGTACATCATGGGAGAACTCTTACTTTTACTGTAAAATGTTGAATGTCATAGAAATGCAAATGATGCTAGAAAACGAACTCAGCAATAACAAGACAAAGTTGTTACAATAATGTATCATGTCATTCTATAGGAGATTGTATAGCATTCTGCTCTGGTGACGTGCTTTCATCTCACTGTTGTCCTTGTGGGTTTGATAATGGCTTTTTCTATTTATTTGTCAGTCAACCTTATTGTTCTCCTTTTTGTTATCTACATTATATGCCTCCCATTGCTTTCTTTATTCTGAAACTTCATATTGTGAGTCTTCACTTTTGTAAACCATTTAATGTAAAAAGAGCTTGCTAATTTTGCTTGTTCATATTAATTAGGTATCTCTTTAATCATATGTCATGCTAACTTGCTAAATATTGGAGGTTATTTCCACCAATAACATTTTTGCATATATTTGTATGTAATAATCATTCTGATCAGTGTCATGAAGAAACAGTTTGATAAGTATTTGTGAAAGATGTATATAGTATGGGTAGCATTAATTTAATTAAACCCACACTTAAATATTCCGGTTATATTAAATTAGCTTGTCCTTTGAAACAAATAGTAAGTAAAAGGAGGTTTGGCATAAAAAATGAATGTAAGTTTAGCTCAGTGCTCAGTTTTATTTTTCCTCTTTTGCCAAAATCCTAGATAATCATGTTAGACCTGACAGTTTTTATAGAATTAAATGCAGTGGGGTGAGGAGCCGGTATTTAAAGGAAGCTACAATAAAAACTTAAAACCTGTCCATGAGAAAATGTTATCTGTTCTAAGCAGAAAAGTAATTATAAGGGTACTTAGCTAACTGCCTAGAAATAGCCAGCTTTTCCACAGTACGTGGTTTTCTTTTCTTTTCAGTACAGTTGGGACAAGTATGGATGTTTCAGTCAGAAATTGCTGAAGGTAGTTTCTCTTTTTTGTCCTAGAGCCAAATGCTGTGAACTTCATCACATAAATTCCGCTGATATATTCGAAATACTCTATGCCTAATACAGTCTCCTTGCATAGTGGGCGAGATTTTAGGTCCAATGCATGTAATGAATAGCGATAATAGCCAAATGTGTAGGCAACATGATAATCAATCAATTTTTTGCTGTAACATAGGTTTAATATTTTATAGGATTCAAGTGTTTATAGTAATTGCCTATGGTGCTAAATTCTCAGTGAGTAGTACAGCTGCAGCACCAGCAGCAAGTTTCCACTCACAGCTCATCAGACAATAAGCAAAAAAGTCTGTAAGGTTTAACTCTAAACTAGATGTATACCAGTAATTCAGGATATGTCGCTGGAATAATCCACAACATTAGGGTGACCACTGACGTATCTCCAGAATACCAGACATTCCAGTACTACTAGGAATGGTAGGGGACCACCCCTACCTTTGTGACCCTGCCCTGACAGTCTGTGCAAGGTCACACCAGCAGGGGTGGAGCAGTGCGCTCTTCAGAATGGCATCTACCACGCATGATACTGGATGAAACCACATCTGGCTTTACATCGTACAGGACAGGACAAACCAAACAAGAGCAGGACTGTCTGAAAACTGGATTAGTGGCCTGCCGGTACAACATTACAATGCTTTGCATTTGGTCAGATGGATATGCCATACTGCAGTAGTGTACTGAATAAATTTTATAAGCCCTGATTCAGCAAAGACTTAAGTGCTTAACTTTATACACTGAACAGTACAAGTGAATTCTATGGAACTAGTCCCAATGCACAAGGTTAAGCACATAGGTAAGTCTTTTCAGGATCAGGGCTATAATTCACTTATGAGAAGTATATTATATAGATAAATATGGCCTGATTTGCAGAAGTTATCCATACATTCCACTGAAGTCAATGGGAGCTGCAGCTGCTCAGCATTTTTGAAAATCTGGCTAATAATGAATTTCTTCAAAGTTTATTCAACTATAATTTTGTGTGACTTTCCTTAATCTGAACAGTCACCTAGCATACAATAGCCTCCTTTTTTTAGTTTAATCTGGTCAGGCTCAAAAGAATATGTAGGAAAAATGATACCACATGAACTAGTTCTTCACCCACATGTTGCACTTTCTTCGTCATTTTGGAGAACCCTCCTTAATACCAATAAAAGTTTTAACGTTTCGTTTTTTTAAATTTGTTTTCATTTTCATTAGAGTTAGTACCTATGGGCAACCTTGGTTGGCCAGCTGAGGTTTATGCTACTAGCTGGCAATATACTCCAGTGTGTTTTTCTTGAAAAATGACTTTTTGTTACAGTTACACATCCTTTTGCCTGTGTTTTCTTATAAGTTTATAAAGTCTTTGGGGGCAAGGACTGTATCTTACAGTGTATTTTACAGCACTTAGCACAATGGAGGCCCAGTCTCAGTTGAGGCCTCTGTATGCTACTGTAATACGCACAATAATAAATTACTGAAAAGTCTCCAAATTAAATTCCAAAGACATTGAAAATCAAGGCTGTTATTGTTAGTCCCAGTAACTTAATTGTCATCTCTCTGAACTGGTTCCTTAGAATCGACTGTAGACTGGACATGTGGCCTGTATTTGCTATTTTTTGTACAAGCTTGACTGTCTTTAGGATCAATTGAACAAGTGAATTGATTACATAAGTGACTAGCACTTCCTTCACCACCAGATAAAAGAGGGTCCACAGTTCATCCAATACTTAAAGCTGGTTTCTGGCTTCATCATTCCCTTAACTTTCACCATTCTAAATTTCATTTTTTCTTACATAAAAGAAAATCTTAAAACACAATCATGGTTTGTTTGTTTGTTTGTTTTAAATTCAGGTTCCAAGGTAGTTAAATAACAATCAACAGTATGCAATTGGTAAGAGATATTGTCTTGCCCCGGCCATGTGGAGAAAAAAATGGCTATTATATGTTTAGAAAATTTTTGTCTTGCTAGCTTTGAACTGAGTGAAACCTTTTATCTCAAAAGACAAAAAGCAGGTAAAACAATTCCTAATTCTAATTTGTATTTACTGTGTTTTGCTTTTGATCTTTCTTTTGCTTTTAATACAAGAATAAATATAAAATATCTTAAACAAAATAAAACACTCAGAAGGATTAAAGCGGATAGATAACTGCTGGGAGATTCCTTCAAATTACATTCATAATGTAGAGCAGTGGAAGGTGTGCCATTTGTGCAAATAACTTCATTTTCACAGTAATCCTTAATTATAAGCACTAGTTATATAAAATAAGTGTTGTGTATGTTTTGGCATTAGCATACATCATCATTCATACTGTTTCCCTTGTTTTTCTTTTTTTACTAAATTGAGGGCATCTGTCAGATTGAAAGCCATGGAAACCAGATGGTACTTTTTATCCAGACATTATTACAGATCCTTTGGGGGAGATTTTTAAAATTATTTAATGGGAATGGAATATGTAGTTTCACCTTGGACTTTCCTTTTATAATGGAAGCTTATGGTGTAGAGTGAAATACCAAAAGAAATGAAAGCTAGTGTAGAAAGTTTTGCCTCTTTTTTGAAAGTGTCCAACCATTAATAGTAGAGAAACATTATAAGCACATCTCAAAAGGCTTGATTATGCAATATCGGTGTATTCTCAGCAAATTGAATTCAAAAAGTAAATAAGTATTTTAACTTACTTTTATTACTTGCACTTTTAATCTACAGTGTGTTGACCATACAAGAGCAATTAAATTTAATAGGCTTGCTTTTGCTTATCCTCCTTGAAACTCAAGACCTTCAATTTCTAGAGATTGTTGTAGGCTACAAGGAAACCAAATACAGTGTTGCTCAAGTAGGCGTTGGAAGGTTAAAGGTCATATTTTGGTGATAAATCTTCATTTCATTACTTTCTTATCATAGGGACAACTGCAATAATTTACCCTGATAATCAATAACATGTGCTGAATATTAATAGAAAAGCTTTACAGATAGTGATATTAAAAATTGAGAGTGTTCATTCTGTTCTTTAGTTTTCTCTCAAGTGTAATTAAATGATTTTCCTACGCTGCTGTCTATGTACTAGTTTAAGCTCCACACAATTTTGAGCATTTACCCTCTCTATCTCAAAATAACTTAAACTTTCCTTTTATAGCAACACTGAGATGTAAATGCTGTTCAATATTTTTGCCTAAACCATTTAAGGTTCCTGGAATGAAATGTGAAAGTATAAGAATTGACAGACATAAGAGCATTTTTCCAGTATATGAGTGGTTTACTGAATATGAATTAAAAACAGAAAATATTCCAATAAGATCAAAAGCACAAAGCCTGTGGGAAAATAACCATAGATAGCTGAAAGAATGTAATGCCCATGTAAATACATTAAGGAAATGTTAGGATATGTATCATTTTAATAATAATGTTATTAGCGGAAATTAGCAATAGAAGCTCAGGGCCAAATTCTAACAAGCCCTGCAAGGGTGCAGAAAGCCCAAAAGCAAAATAAAAGCTAAGTGTCTATCAGCTGCAAGAGGGAGCAAAACAGAGAATTCTGCACCTGCTCTGTGCCACAAGGAAGATCTCTATGGCACGACTCCACCCTCACTGTGGAAAGAAAGGAAATGGGCAGGCAAGGGATATGAACAGTGGCACTATGCACAGTGTGTGTGCTGCCTCTCCCGATCCATATCCTATTCTACCAGTGCACTGATTCTCTCACTTACTGGGACTCGGTATGCAGCTCTAAACAACACACAGATGCAATACTCTTCCTCAAATATAGTTGTGCAAGTCCAGGCATTTATTTTGTCTCTAAAGACACAGTGATTTTGTATTCTTAGATAAATATTTCTTACCATGTTAGGAACATTTCCAAGGACATTTTTTCCACTTCACTTCCATGAAAATAGTGAATATGAACAACATCTTTACATACTCTTAGAGATGTGTACTAATGATATGTTTTTCTTTTTCTGAATTTAGGCGAGGATATGCACAGCAAGAGGTAAGGCTATTCCCCAACTATATTATTAAAACAGTGTGATAACAGAGAACGTATATCTTCCTATTTCCAGCACTTTTTCTTCAGCTGTTTAAAACACAGAGAATTTTCTTTTGAAATATTAGTTTGATTGAAATCTTAACAATAAATTAAAAAATTGCCTTAATATAAATTAATTTTCTTAAAAGGCTGAAGATTGATGGGGAAAGCTGGGACAAACCCATTAATGTCGGGGCCTGCAAGAGCAGTGTATCCAGCTCCACATGCTCTGTACCCCCTTTGGCATCTGCAAAATCGCTACCTTGCTGTGATTTGCTCCTTCTGCGGGGCTGCATTCATGTGTCTCCTCCGATGGGGTGAATACAGCAAGTAGCAGGACTTCCTGCTTTTTCCATAATGGCTTTATTTTGGCAAATAAACTCCTGAGTAGTACCTTACTATACAAATAACCCCATTGAATTCAGTGGGACTACTTACCTAGTAAGATACTACTCTTCTTGAGGAAGGATGGCAGCATCTGCCACTAAATTACAATGCAATATGTGATGTGTGTTGTAAATTACAACACTCAAAGTAAGTTATAAATAAGGCCTCTGATTTTCAGTTATTTATTTCATTTATTTCCTGGGTTTATTTAAAAAAATAAAAGGGAAAAATCAGTAAAACTGAAAATAAGGGGCAGTGTGCAGGCAAGAGGGGTGCTCCGTATTCTCAGCAGCCGGGGCTGCAGCAGTCAAGAGGATCTCGGGTGCCAGGACCGAACTCTCTGTGGTCTTGCTCCCACACTGCTCTGTGGAAGTAAACGGGGCCACGCTGAAGGGCTGGAGTCAGGAGGGAAGCGGAAGGCTACAACCTGTGAGTACTGTCCCCGCCAACCCCCCCAACCAGACACACCCCACTTCTGACCCTTGAGTGTGGCCCCATTTGCTTCCCCTGCAAAAAATTCCTGGATCCCAAAAACGTGAAAATCAGCAAAACCTGAATACTGGCGTTTTCAAAAGTCCAGCAATTATTGGTGAGGAGAGGGGAGGGAAATCCGTAAATACTGATAAAGAAGGATCTTAGTTCAAATAATTTGAGCCACATAGTAGTTCAATAGTGTAATTGCCACGAATGGGCTGTGTTTAGCTGTGAGGTAGCACAGGATAATCATATGTAGCTGCCGTTGCCCTCTATGCAGCTTCCAATTGCTCTCCCTCTGATATTGACATGTTTTTGTTATCCTCTACACCATACAGCAGAACAGAGAATATAGTTTTTAGCAATTATATAGTTCCACCAATTACATAAAACTATTTGTATTCCTCAGATGGTGCAGTGAATAGGTACTAGAGTGGAACTAAGGGGATCTAGGTTCAAACCCGAGGTCAGCCACCGACTTAGTGTGAATTCAGGCACATTTTTTTAATCTACTTTATACCTAAATTCCCTAATTGAAAAATGGGAATGATACTTCTCTACTTCAGCGGGCTATTGTGATGATTAAATCTATGAATGGTTGAGATGCTCAGATACTGTGGCAATAAGGGCCATATAAGTACCCAAATACATAGAAGATGGCAACCACAGAGGAAAATAAAGAGGAAGTGATGATCTTGTGATTAAAACACAGGACTGGAAATCAAGATACCTGAGCTTTCTTATTAGTTCTATCATAGATTTCCTGTGTAACCACGAGAAAGCCTGTGGAAGCCATTTGGGGAGAGGAGTACCGAGGAGTAATGTATAAACCCCTGTACAAAGGCCAGATGCCACTGCAGGAATCTCAAGATGCCCACAGATTTGCCTTCCACCTACTCTGAAGTTTTTTAACTTGCACAGTGAATTATCTGGCCTTTGGAAATACATTTAAGATTAGCAAATAATTCAGAAAATAATTATCATATGACTGGGAATTAGATTGTACATTAGACAAAAGAAATAACAGACTGTAAATTGATTTTACTGCAGTATGTACTTACATGGTGCCCTATATACAATGTAACTAAAAAAAGTATTCAATGAGTATTGAAGTATTTTGGCCATTCTGAAATTAAAAATACAGATAGAACAGTGTTTGGAGGCTCTCCTTCAAACCTTTCAGTTTCAACATAAATTACCTCTCTACTAACTAGCACTGTCTGATTAACCTTTCTATTTCTAATTATCTTTGTCAGCAACAGCAATTGCTGAGACCCTCTCTTCTCAGACCAGAGGTACTATTTTTCCTTGTCTTACTATTCTATAACTTTCAAAGCAGCCTTTACAGTATTTTCTGATCTAAATTTCTATTTTCCAGATAGATTTTTCTTCACTATTGAAGAAAACATCTTTATTTTGTAAAAGAAGAAAATGAACTTTTTTATCCCATTCATTTAGTTTTAATTAAATATGATATTTTCTGCCTCATGATATTTTTCCTTGGAGCTATCCTCCCACTTCTTTCAGTCATTACTGTTGACTTCAGCAACACCAACTGCAAAGTTTACTAGCATTGTTTTCAGATTAATAAACAGAATAATTGTATTACTATCACATTTTTATCTAGTTTCTCTGGTGCCAGTCAGTTGGTCATTATTACTCCTAGAGATGAGGTGAGCAGCTGCCTTCCCAAAAATAATAAAAGTATAGTGAAGGATCTGGATTATATCCTTGATGCTTTAAATTAAAATCACTTGGACATGATATTGCTTCCAGTGTAATCAGTAGAACAACTCCCATTAATTTCAGTAGGAGCAGGAGCAGGTCTTTTGGGTCACATCCTTGGTCCTGATAAACAGTGCTTTTCACTGTACTAGTGCTGCCTTAAAGCTGGCCAGTATGGCCCGCTGAGGATTTCTCTAGCATATGGGAACCACCGGTGAAGTAAAGCTAATATAGTTGACGTAGGTGCTAGGTTTGGGAAGGAGGAGTGATGGCATGCCATGGAATTCCAACAATCCCTGGCAATCATAGCAACTCCCAGGAGCCACTGGAAAAGAAAAAGGAATATAGAACAGCTCTGAGGCTGCTCTAATTTACATGGGGCTGGACTTGTCCCCAGGATCCCTGGTGATCAGGGGAGTACAAAGGTAACAGACAGCCACCTTCCCCCTCCTCACTCCAGTCCAACTTTTGATGCCTTTGTTTTCAAAAAGACTTTATTGTCTACCTTGCAAGACAATAATCTTCTCTGTAGCATCCCAAGGTCTGTGAAGATTTTTAAAAGGTACAATGGTATTTTTGTATGATATAAACAAAATCATTCCTTCTGATCCAGTACTGCCAATAATAATTGTTAGCAAATAATGCAGATTGTATCAACAGGAAGTGTGTTCTGAAGTAGAGCCTGACAAATACTGTAAAGAAAATAGTCTTCATCTTAGGCTAGGAGTCCTTCTATAACAGTCCTATGGAAAGATATGGGGCATGAAGGCAAGAAATGAAAATTCATGAGAAAAGTGACAGTATATTTGTGATGAGTCAGTTATGCTGAATAAAGCTATTGTAAAGTACAACTGAAAAAGCTTTTTTCCCCCCTCAGAAGGATATGCAACTTTTACACACTAGAGCCTTTTCTAACTGTGAATATTCTAGGGATGTATCATTAAAATAAAGTATTTATTGTGCCTGTTGGCCTTAGATTACTGAGGTGCCAACTGTAGTTTCTGACCGTTTTTTTCAGCACCACAGAAGCCTTTTGAATTGCGATTTCACCAGCATCCCAGCTAGGGCATGAGAAAAAAATAACATGGCCACCTGAGACTGTATTACTGAAATGACAAGTGGTAGTGATAAAAGGCACTCACTGTAGTTCTTGTCTTTTTTTTTTTCTCTTGCTTATACACAATTTGTAATATTCTTTTCTGCATTCCTTATCACCATCACTATGTGTTTAAGTATTTCCATTCAGTCAGTTTTCTCTTTTGGATTACAGGAGTTGTCTATGGAATCTGGAATTGATCCAGGCCAAGAATATTATGGGCAAGATTACTACAGTTATGAACATGGGTATGTTTTCAGTTTTCCTATGTAACTTTGCAAATACAGCTTTTCAGGCTTAGCCTGTTTATTATTTCAGCATTCAGTTTGGAAAATTTCATTTTCTTCAGGATTCTAGAAAAACCCGAGGATTACATTTATCTTCTACCTGCAATAATTTACATACCATTGCGACATATGGCCTAACCACTTTTCTGCTCACCATAATAGATCCTCCCCGAACCCGCTGTTGGGAAGGTTGGGGAAAAAATCCCATGCTACCTAGGCCAATCTGGTGGTAAGGGAAAAATTCCTTCCCAGACCCCCTAAAAAGGAGTGACTAGCGCAATGCCCCCTTCAGGTCCTAACCCAACCGGATATTAGCACCTTGATGGGAAGGAGGGTGGGTGATGCTGCATGGAGAAAGAGCTTTCAAAACCTTTCTCCCTCCCATTCCCAGGGAGTGAGTCAGCACTGCAAAGCTGACCACCAGCCACCTTTTTACAGCAGTTTGCAACCTTCTTCTACCCCTTTCCCTCTGTCCTTCTTCGCCCCCCCCCACTTTCCCCTCCATCCCCCCCCCCCCCCCGGCCCATAAAGCACTACTGTCTTCCTCCAGCAAGCCTGGACAACATCCCTTCCCCTCCCTCCCTCCCCCCCCCCACCCCCTGCTTCAGGTGCGGTGCAGTCACTCTCCCAATAAAAACAGGCAACAGAAGCAGGTACCTGGAAGAAGGTGCCCAAATTTGGGAGCCTTCTGATTAATCCAGGACACCTAATAGCTCTGGCTTGATCCAAAACCTATTGAAATCTGAGTGTCTTTCTGTTGATTTCAGTGGGTTTTAAATTATATTCTTAATATCAACAATTTCTCATATGTAGACAATAACAAAAGAACAGGGAAACTCCTTTCGGGAGGGGGGGAGAGAGAGAGAGAGACTATAGATAAATATAGACACACACATACATAAACACACAGAATATCTGAAGTCAAAGGTCTCTTTTCCAGGTATGAATTGCCTCAATATGGGAGTCGTCGCCGATTGTTATCTCCAACTGGAATGTATGATGAGTATGGTGAAGTGGTTGTGGAAAATGATGGCAACTATTATTACAGTCCACATGGATCAACAGCTGAAGGAGAAGTAAGTGTAATATACTCTGTTGATTCTATTGTGTAACAAGACAGTGTCTTTTAACCTTTCCAGGTTTTCTTTGCATAATTAATTAGTGCATTATTTTGTACACACACTAGCTAAGCAACTTCGGACTCTTCAGTCATTGCATTAGGGATCCAATAAAACCTGGTTGGGATTTTCAATTGTGGTGATTGGTGATATATCAAGAAGAAAGTTGCTTTTCCAAATAGAAAGAGGGTTTTAAGATCATGGTTTTATGTCATCATCTCCTTTCCTTTTTTAAAAAATTACAAAGCTGCTTTTAATCTACTTAGAGCTATTTTCCATTAAATCATGGATTTCTTGTCCAGTAAGAAAAATATATAACCTCATATATGATTATATTCCTAAACAATGGTTTATTATATTACTTATATCTGCACTAGTTATACTGAATATAACATGTTATAACTGATTATCTGCAGATGAACACAACAGTTACTACAATAATTTATCATAATGCTTGGTAATGGAGTGTAAGGAAAATAAATGAAAATGCCCAGTGAATGCTAGAAAAAATTTCATTTGAAGTTATATGTTTAAATTTAATGTTCAGAAATAGTAGGCAATAGATAGAAAAAATGATATTAATTAGAAAAGAAGCTGTAATGTTTGAGTCAGTCTTTTGTACCATAACTGAGTAAAATCACTGTGAACTAATTGCCCATTCTAGAAGTTAAAATTTTTCTTTCAGTCCGAGAAACTTTGGCAAAAACACTATATGGTAACAGGTAAGCTGGTTTTGCTTCCAGGAAAAATGTTGCATGATAATATTAACTCTTCGTTCTCTTCCTGCTGAACTATTTTAGGAAAGCAAGTTTTCCCAATACCAATATTTCAAATTGTAATTAAGTTCCATTTTCATAATTGCAGGGGATGAGTCGAGGCAAAGGTCCTACAGGCAGAGGTATAAGCCAGAGAGCAGGGCATCAAATAGAAGGTAGTGTTTTAGGTGGTGGGATGAATCTAAGAGATGGTTCTGGAAGAGAACATAGGACCAGCCAGGGGAAAAGAAAACTAAAAGCAGTGATGCAGTTGAGTCGAATAGCCGTAAAACCCCACAAACGAGAAGGAACAACTGAGTCTGCTCATTCTCCATGGAAGAAAGCAAAGATATTTCCAATGATTCTGCAGAAAGTAAAAGGCAGTAGCAAAGATTCCAATTATGCAAAGCTGATGTCAGCTCGCCCAGTGGACAGTGAAGACAGCATGATTATCAAAGGAAATTATTTCCAGAAATCAGCAGATGACAAACCTTCAACAACCAGAAAACTAAGTCATGTGCTAAAACACATTAGTGTTTCCAAAAAATTTCAAAAGCATTGCAAATCTCAAAGCTCTGCTAGCAAAAGTTCAGTATCTGCAAGTGAAAAAGGAGGGGAAGACTCTGAAAGTCAGGGGGTGAGTGAATCTGAAAGAGATGAAACAAAATCAGGAATTTCAATTAATATCACAGCAGAAAGTGAGCCAGAGTATAGTGATGTTTCTGATGACTATGATAAGAAGAAAAAAAGAAAATCTGCTGCTTCAGATGATGATGAATCATCAGCAAGGAGTAGTATCTCTGCCTCTCAGGCAGATGATAAAGACTATTTGAAAGTGACACTGGACCAAGATGAAACCAATGAAAGTACTGTAGATTCTGATGAAGAGAAGGAGGAAGATTTACACGATTCAGAAGATGATCATTCTGTATCCAAATCAGATAATGAACAGGATGAATCAGAAGAGGACATATCTGAGCACTCTGAAGAGGAAGAAGATGAGGAAGAGTCAAAAAGCGTCCTTTCTCAAGTCTCTGGTTCTCAAAATCAACTCTCTGACAGTGATGAAGATGACTTCCAGTCAAAGGTATCCTCAAATCAGAGTTCCTATAGCAGATCTAGTGATTCCAATAGCAGAAGAGTTAGTGAAAGAACTAGTATGTCAAGTAAGGGAAGTAAATCTAGTGGAGGAACAAGGGATTCCAGTCACAGGTCAGAAGTGATTAATTCTGACAGTGAAATTAGCTCTAAGGGATCAGTCAGTGAAAGAAACAAGAGTTCTGGATCCAGCTACAAGAGCAAAATGTCCACAGTTGGCAGCGAAATAGAAGACATGATAGAGGAGATATCAGAGGAAGATGAAAAATCAGATTTGGAGCAAGATGATACAAGCCCTGATGAGGCAGGTGACAATATAAGTGATAGGACTATGTCTGAAACGTCTTCCATCAGTCAAAAAACTACTTCCAGTAAACAGAGCAAGATAAGAAAATCCGGTATTAGTGTTGGAGGTAGCATGGCTGAAAGCACAGAAGAGACTGATATAGATGCTAAGGATAGGGAAGAAACTCTCAGTAGGAGTGAATCAAAAAGCCTTGAAAGTGAAAATAGTGTTACTTCCAAAGGCAGCGGAGGGACAAAGAGCTCAGTGAGTGCCGCTTTTTCTAGTAAAACGGATGCTTCCCAAGATTCACATCTTCAAAGTTCTGATTCCAATATGAAAAGAAAGAATCTAAGGAAAAAGATTTCCTCAAAACACAGTGAACTTCAGTCAGATGAGACTCCTGATACTGCTGCATCAGAGTCAGAGACTGCCGCTGACTCCACATCCTTTTAAAAAGAGAGAACAGTAGGTGTACATTTTGCAGTAAGGAATGGTCTTGTTTGCTGTGCCCTCTGCATGGTCTTTCATGAACACTACCGATTTGATTAAAACATTAGAAACAAAATGACAAAATATCATCCTCTCTAGACACTTCAATTGCACTGATATCCATCCTGTTAAGATTAGTAACACAGAAAGCTATGCAGATATCATTTCTCAAGTGAAAATACTCAAATGTAATTCTAAGTGAATATACATTGATAGAATTTCAATCCAAAAAGTACTAACAGGAAGGGATGCATTTTTTTCCCTGTGTAAACTTTAACCCTGTAATAAAAAGGCATTTTATTAGTAGTCCTTTAATTTACCCTTTTTGTACTGTGCAAGTCATGGTGCAAAGTATTATTGCATATTACATTAGCAGTAATGGCTAGCTTGTCACAAACTTCTGCATATAGTATGCAATTTATATTGTAATATAATTTATAATTTATGTATGCATTCAGGCAGCTGCCACAATGAGGAATAGGAATTATCATAGCGATAATCAACTCATATAGCATTTCACTACATGTTCAATTCTGTACAAACATTTACTAATCTTAATAATAATCGCTTGAATGTAGATATTATCATCTCCATTTTACAGATGGGAAAACTGAGTCAGAGGAAAAGTGGCTTACTCTCTGCAGTCTTGGGCATCAGTGGCAGAGTCGGGATTAGAATTCCTAACCTCTGTGCTCATTCCTGTAGAATCTAGATCATTCTGTGTCTCAACATGGCAAAACTTTGGGGTTTAGAGGGTATCAATTCAGACAGCACATTTGAAAATGGAATCCGATAAACAAGATGTAGAAATTCACAAAAAAAGTTGTATTTTCCCCAAAAGTCACCTATAAAATGGACATTTTTTAACATGCACTTATATAACAGTTGGACTCATAGGTTTCAGTTACTACCTGCAAAGTGTCTTTAATCATTGTAACAATATGGGTGATGTTAAATACTACTTGAGCAATTTCTACAGAGACCAACTTTTTTTTCTTGGCTACATCCACATTTTTTATTGCCGGTAGTGCAAGAAAAGTCCAGTTCACCTCGTGTCTGTACTTTTGGACTTGCTCTCTAAAATTCAATGACCTGGAGTATCTGATGCTGTTCAGTACAGAAATTATAGTTTTAGAGCTTTACAATTCCAGTTCCATTCAGAGTTGGCATGATAGTGAAGAAAAGACTCTAATTTAAAGCTCAAGTTGCATTTGTTTTCATATATGAAATTACTGCTGCATGATGCTGTGCCCCACAGAGCTCTAATTCATGCAGCCAACACGTTGAATGTTAAAAATGTGTATACACACCCAGTCTGTAGGCACTTTCTTGTATCTTATTGTACTAAAGACTGCACAGCTCTTTCTCAAACAGTGGATTATGTAGGAGGTTAATTTCGATATAAAAAAATCTCACAATCAGTTCCCACATAAATTAATGTTAGTTTATAGAACCAAAGATGAATCACCTCTTTTGATCCAGTACCTGGATTGTGAGCTACAAAGTTAGTAGGCTGATAAATCTAACAGCAGATGGAAGTATCACAAAGGCAAATCAGTTACTATAGTACAGTGGTTCTCAGCCAGGGGTCCAGGGCCCTCTGGGAGGCCACGAGCAGGTTTCAGGGGGCTGCCAAGCAGGCCCAACATTAGACTTGCTGGGGCCCAAGCCAGAAAGCCGAAGTCCCACCGCATGAGACTGAAGCCCCAGGGCCCCAAGCCCCGCCATCCAGGGCTGAAACCAAAGCCTGAGTAACTTAGCTTTGTGGGTCCCTGTGGCATGGGGCCCTGGGCAATTGCCCTGCTTGCTACCCACTACATGTGCCCTGGCTTTTATATGTAGAAAAACAGTTGTTGTGGCACAAGCGGGCCATGGAGTTTTTATAGCATGTTGGGGGGGCCTAAGAAAGAAAAAGGTTGTGAACCCGTGCTATAGTAGAAAGAGGAAAAGGTTTGATTCTCTAGTATACTTGAACTTGCTATTAAGTTAAACAGTTCTCTTTTGTCAAACTTTTTCTTGGCATCTGTGTTAATGAATACTTCATTCACATGAGTGGGAAATTGTCAGACTTGTGTTTACTATCTGTGTGAGACAAACATATTTCTTGCCTATAGCTGCTATCTCTGACAATATGGAGATTGCCGTTGACTGAATTTTTGAGGGGGCAATGGCCCATTCTTTCAAATAGAGGATATATATGGACATGCTTGTGCTAAAGAGCTACTGTTCTGCATCATTTTTGTATATATAGGGTAAAATCCTGACTCCATTGAAGTCAATGGAAATTTATCCTTAATTTCAATTGAGTCAGTATTGTACCCCTATTTTTCCCATTCTTCTGTGATATCCCATGTCAGAGAGGTGCAGTCCTCTGTGAGTGGGGAAAAAATGTGAGGAAAACTAGGATCTGCATTATTAAACATCTTCTTTAGAATATATGACTCCCACAAACCATGGACTCAAGTCTTAATGACTCCCCTGCAGTTGTTGCAAGCTCATTGTCTTTACACCTGTCCTTTTTTGCAACATATTTTTTACTTTTTTGTAAGATGAATTTGAAAATGTTTTCTTTGTGCCATCACTCAAGTGTGCCATGGCACTGTGGAACCAGTAGCAAAAGGTATGGAGACTAGTATTCTTGTAGGCAACAAAATATGCCCCAGAGAATCAGCAGACTGTACTGTGACAATTATCTCATATCTATGAAACAAATTTCCTTACACTATGTTCCAATAGAAGCTGTATTTCTATTGCTCACAACTGTGTAAGCGACACAGTTACCATTAAAACTGACACTGTTGCCATTGACTATAAAAGGAGGAAGCGCGTGTCCCTATATTTGTAATGTGCAAGGCATATAGATTCAGTTATTCCTTTCCTCTTACTCAGTTCTTGGTCCCCAAGTTGTAGCTGCACATATATTGTAGATCTTTTCCTGAAACTAGTCAATTTTCCCATTGACCAAAAGATACATACCAGCATGAAAAAAATGATACGTATGTGTAAGGATAAAAAGGTAGACTAGAGTCCTGTAAGTAATTTGTGCAAAGTTTAGTTTTTCAAAAGCATGTTCAGTACCATTTATTTGTACACTGCATGATTTGCTGTTTTTTAAAATTCTCCTTTCCTCTGGCGTGTGTGTGTGTGTGTGCACGAGTGTGTTGTAGAAGTCAGCTCCAGTACACTGTATCCTAACAGTAGAACTCTGTGAATAAACATGGAGCTTTCACTCTTAGTTCAAGAGCGATAATAGTTGTGTTCATTTTATATTAAGGAAGCAACTTTCTAATGAGATTCATGCTATAAATTAAAATAATGTGAACAGGTTTTATGTAAATCACAATCAAAACAAAGTCACAACTCTGACATTCAGCTTCTGTGATCCCTATGGAAAATATCGCATGTAGTGTAAAATCTATAAAATCTGTAGGCCTGATGTACCACTGTGTTACTTCATTTATTCCACAATGTAATTCTGTTGATTTCAGTGGAGTTATTCCAGTTTTGTACCAGTGTAATGGACTGGTGCATCAGGTCCTACATAAAGCAATAACGTGGCATTTTTTTCTAATCAGTACTATCAACACTTTACCTTTGCCTGAGAAATTAAGACAATTTTGTTCCTGAAATGCCACTGTCATTGTTACTTTATTGTAAAATAGAAATGTCAAAAGCTATCCCTGAGCTGACATTACAGTGTAGTAAGTATTTAGAACATTTATGTTCTCGAAGAAAACTTCCAGTGATTTTCTGAGTATTTACCACTTAGCACTAGCAGTTACCAAGAACAACCATTTCTGCAGAGTTTTACATGAATAAATTCCAATTTCTATTGTAAAATGATAGTGATCATGTTGTATTTTATATTCCTATGTATGACCAACTGAGAAATTGATTTTGGTTTACCTATAACATGATTTACACAACACATTTCTTAAGCATGTTTCTGGAAGGGAAAATCTCCATTGTCCAGCCATATCAGAAGCAGGACAGGAGACACTGGATTTGGTTTAAGTAGGCCGTAACTGTATTATTATTTGTCTGAGAGTACCCTGCAGGTAAAAGTGTACAATGCAGGTAAATCCATGATCATTACAATATCTATCAACCCTCCCCCTTTTTCCATTCTGGTCCCCAGCCAACCCACTGCTGGGACCTTAATATCTACCCCCCTTCCCCATAGAATGAGGATTAAGGTGGGCTATAAAGGGGGCTCCCTGCTGTGGCAGTCATGGGAGCCCTGAATCCCTCCTCATTTCCATTCCGTTAACAAACACTTCCTTTAAATCCTTTACCAATCTATTTATCTGACCACTGTATCCCTTTTATCCCTTTCCTATGGGGTATCCCCCCCCACACTTACATAATAAGTTGCAACATCAGAGCCTAGCTTCCGTTTCATGCTCACCCCAACTATGCCCCCCCCAAACCCATTGTGAGGACGGCAAAAACAAAAAAACCACTTTGCCTTGGCCAATCTCGCAGTGAGGGAATAATTCCTTCCCAGTCCTCCAAAGAAAGGAGCAGCTAGCACAGTGCCCACAGTTGATCCTGACCAAACCTGGTATTTTGCCACTTCCAAGGGTGTGTGCTGCTCGCTTGGTCTGGGCTTTTCCAGTCCAGCTTATTCTTATATCCTCTCTCCTCCCTTCCAGTCAGGTCACCTTGAGGGATGAATCGGTGTCCCCAGACTGACCTATTTTCCTAGCAAGCCAGATAACGCCTTCCCCCTTTTGCTACCCCCACCTCCTGCTTAAGGTGTGGTGTGGTCAAGCCATGAAGTCTCCAAAGAATCACTTTATTTTCATGGGCACGCAGACTGTCTAATGGTGGATGTGGATTTAGCAAAAACATTATAATGTTTTTCTAACCCTGGAGAGCTTTCTCAGAAATATGTCAGATTTTTCTATCTTTACCTGGTATCTAGCTGAAATTTTGTTAAACAGCGGGTATGCAGATTTCTCAATACTTTTACATCCATTGAGTAGGGGAAATTGTTTAATGTTGAAGCTTTTGGCAGTAATAGGCACAGTTAAATGGAAATGATCAATATACAAATTAAAATGAAAAGTTATAAAATAACTTAATAAAATATGTTAGGTATTTGTCTGAAACACTAGGTAGAATATAGAAGCTGAAAAAATGTAATAAATTATGCTGTGGTTTAATAAACTCTCTCTTGTTGTCAAACAGTGGGCCAGAAAGAAAAGGATCAAGTTAGTAGTTGATCCAGAATATGAGACCAGCTCAACTGGAGAAGACAGTGCTCCAGAATGCCAGAGGAATCGTCTTAATAACCCCAATATTCAAAACAATGTAAATGGCAACATCTATATTGCGCAGAATGGGTCAGTTGTGAGAACCCGTCGCATTTGTCTATCCAATAATTTAAAAGTCACATCCCCTGTTAGACTGGGGAAACACTTCAAGAAATTGGACAAGTTAGCAGTGACGCATGAGGAGAATGTCCCATTGAACACATTGTCAAAGGGGCCATCTTCTAGTGACAAACTGAACACAAGACCGTCTAATGTCTCCTTTGCCTCAACTACTAGAGGGGCTGACAACATAGCAACAAAGTCTGGGGGCAACAAAATGAAAAGCACAGAAGAGCAAGAGTCTGTTGTTGATAATGAGGATGTCAGAGAGCCCTTGGAATCACACAGCGATCTCACACACTCAGATGAAGAGGAGCTCTGGATGGGACCTTGGAATAACCTTCACATACCAATGACAAAACTGTGACCTTTTTTAATTTTAATTTTTACTTCAGTTTATAATAAACTACGCTTTTTAATGTCACTGAGGAAAATGTATGAAATTTGTATCGTGCACATAAATTGTATACTTTGAACGACATGCTTTAAAGTTGAGAGACTTTGCACTCACATTTGTATCAATTAGTTGTTCTTCCCAACAACACTTTTGACAGGCTCTCAGTTCACTAAACAATACTCAGTAAAAAATTATCTTTTTTGTTGGATCTTGATTTATTGTTTAATAAACAGTGAATTACTAAATGCACAGAAAATTTTGTTGACTTCTCAAAACATTCTATACTTGCCTAGCTTATTTCACTGTATAGTATGTGTGGTTAGACTGTTTAGATTTGAAAATTGCATTTTTATGATTGAGGATTTGATTCGCATCTCACACTGTGATAAACCAGAAATAAATCCAATGATGTCAATGGACCAGATCCTCACTTGATGTACATTGGCACAGCACTATTGAAGTCCATGGAGCTCTGCCAACTTACACTACTTGAGGATCTAGCCCAATAGAATTATGAAGCTATAAAGCGGAAGTGAGACTAAAATCAGGTCTACTGTATCTCTAAATATATTGGTTATATAACAAATTAACATTATTATATGGCAGATTAATAGATTCCAAAGTCAAAAGGGACATGTGATCATCTGGTCTGCCCTCCTATATAACACAGGCCTAGTATTTTCCCAAAATAATTCCTAGAGCAATTCTTTTAGAAAAACATCCAATCTTGATTTTAAAATTGTCAGTGATAGAGAATCCGGCTTGACTCTTGGTAATTTGTTCCAATGGTGAGTTACTCTGACTGTTACTTATCTATACCTTATTTCCAGTCTGAATTTGTCTAGCTTCAGCTTCCAAGCATTGGATTGTTATATCTTTCTCTACTAGGTTGAAGAACCAACTATTAAATATTTATTTCCCATGTAGATATTTACTGACTATAATCAAGTTACCCTTTAACCTTCTCTTTGTTAAGTTCAATAGATTGAGATTTTTGCATCTATCACTATAAGGCATGTTTTCTAAGCCTTTAATTTTTCTCGTGGCTCTTCTCTGAACCCTCTCCAATTTATCAACATTCTGCTTGAATTGTGAACACCAGAACTAGATGTAGTATTCCAGCAGCAGTCACACCAATGCCAAATATGGAGGTGAAATAACCTCTCTCCTCCTACTTGAGAATGGTGTGGAGAAAGTGAATAAGGAAGCATTATTTACTCCTTCACATATTACAAGAAACAGGGGTCACCCAATGAAATTAACAGGCATCAGGTTTATAACAAACAGAAGGAAGTACTTCACACAACATATAGTCACCCTGTGGAACTCACTGCCAGGGGATGTTGTGAAGGCCAAAAGCATAACTGGGTTAAAAACGAATTAGATTAGTGTATGGAGGATAGGTCCATCAATGGCTATTAGCCAAGATGGTCAGGGATGCAAACGTATCCTCTGGGTGTCCTAAGCCTCTCACTGCCAGATGCTGGGACTGCACAACAGGGGATGGATCACTCAGTAATTACCCTGTTTTGTTCATTCCTTCTGAAGCATCTGGCTTTGGCCACTGTTGGAAAACAAGATACTGGGCTAGATGGCCCGTTGGTCTGACCCAGAATGGCCATTATTACATTCTTATGTCAGCATTAGCTCTTTTGGCCACAGTGTCACCCTGGGAGCTCATGTTCTGCTAATTATTGACCATGACCCCCAAATTATTTTCAGAGTCACTGCTTCCCAGGATAGAGTCCCCATCCTGTGAGTGTGGCCTGTGTTCTTTGTTCTTAGATATATACATTTACATTTAGCTATATTAAAATGCAAATTGTTTTCCTGCACCAAGTTCATCACGCAATCCAGATTTCTCTGAATCGCTCTTCATTATTTTCCACTTCCTCAATTTTTTTGTAATCTCCAAATGTAATCAGTGAGGATTCTTTTTTTCCATGTCATTGACAAAAATGTTAAATAGTGTAGGGTCAGGAACCAATCCCTGTGGGACCTCACTGGAAACATAACCACTCAATGATGCTTGCCCATTTACAATTACATTGAGACCAATCAGTCTGTTTTTAATCCATTTAATGTGTGCCATGTTTATATTATCTCATTCTATTTTTGTAATCAAAATGTTGTGTGGTAACAAGTCAAACAGCTTACAGAAGTGTAGGAATATTAGGAGAGTGGAATAGAAGTTTAAATATAATAAAAATTGCAGAGGAGGGATGCTCTTGTTTCAGTTTACCTGCCCTTAGTTCATTCATTGTCTTTTATAAATTAGTTCATTTAAATCTTCTCTAGTTATTCTTTCATCTTTTCTTGCATTAATTTTGTTTTCTTCTTTATACAGTCTATCTTCAGTTTTTATGCTACATCAATAATTGTTATCCTAGGGCTACATTCACCTACATTAAAATAGGGATGACATAGAAGACTGAATGATAGAAATAGGCATACAAGGTAAATAAGTAGGAATGGAGATTCAACTAGAGCAGGGGTTGGCACGTGAGCTGATTTTTAATGGCACGCTGCTGAACCCCGGCAGTCGGCTGAGCGGAGCCAATGGGCAGGACCCCGGCAGGCAACAGCGTGCCATTAAAAATCCTGCCTGGCCCAGCCCGCTCTTCTCCGCCCCCCGCCTACCACTCTCTCTAGCAGGGGCAGGGGGCAGAACAAAGCTTGCTCCTGCCGGCTGCTGCTGTAGGGCAGGCTCCGCCAGCAGCCAAGCTTCCCCCTCCCCCGCCTCTTCCCCCAGCGTGCTGTGTCGTGCGCTACCTCCTCACCCTCCCTGCCGCCGATGGCTCTTGCGAAGGAGAGGAGCCCCAGCGCCCTCGCTGCTCAGACCGGGAAGGAGGCAGAGAAGAGGCAGGAGCGCAGCCTTGGGGAAGGGGGGTGGAATCAGGACATGTCCCTCTAGCCCCCTGCCGTGAGCCGCTCAGGGCAGGGGGCTGGAAGCACACCCCGCAATCCCAGCCCACCCACCCCCAGCCCTCAGGGGGTGCAGGAGTCAGGGCAGAGGGCTGGGGGCATGTGAGGGGGGTGCAGGAGTCAGGGCATGGGGCGTGGGAGGCTGGGTATGCGTGGGGGGTGCCAGTCAGGGCTGGGGTCGTGGGGGGCTGCAGGGGGCTGGGGTGTGAGGGGGGTGTAGGGCTCAAGGCAGAGGGCTGGGGGGTGGGCTGGGATCGGGGGGGTTCTCCCAGCCCCCTGCCCTGAGCTCTGCATCCCCCCACCCACCCCCAGCCCCCTGCACCCCCCCCCCACGACCCCAGCCCCGCTCAGCCTGCTGCTGGTCTGGGGTCCCGACCCCCAACACTGCTCAGCTTGCTGCTGGTCTGGGGTCCCGGCTGCCGGCCCCCCTCAGCCCGCTGCCAGCCTAGGTGATCAGCATTTTAATTTAATTTTAAATGAAGTTTCTTAAACATTTTGAAAACCTTGTTTACTTTACATACAACAGTAGTTATATAATATATAGACAGAGACCGTCTAAAAAACGTTAAAATGTATTACTGGCACGCAAAACCTTAAATTAAAGTGAATAAATGAAGACTCGGCACACCACTTCTGAAAGGTTGCCGACCCCTGATCTAAAGGTTGTCATTGGGCTAAATAGTACAGTAAGGATTCCCCACCACACTACAGAACATAAAGCTGTGTTAAAGACAAATGAATCATACTGAAGCAAATGAATAGTGAAACTTTTTGAACCTAATGCATGAAAGAATCTATCAAAGGAAAAGGGTTTGGGAACACAGGAAACTTGTATTGGGTCAAAAAGTTGTAGTAAATGTATTGCTTCTAAAATTTATTATATGAAATATTGGCGCCCACTTTTTTCTTCATAATTCAAAAGTACTCTATCGTTTTATTACAATATTTATACAACTTAAACATGCAGCAGAGAGTGAGTTCTGTATTCATTAACTAATGCTTGGAAGGGGAGCCATTATCATTATTAAGAAAAATATTTTCTCGAAGGTTAAATTAGAAACAAAAAAAATGGTCACTGATGAACCATATCTTGTCATGCCACACATTTATTTTTTTAGGGAATAGAATCAAACTGCATTTAGTTAAGAGAGAAATATGGAAACTATTGAACAATATGCTGAGTCAACATCAGCTTCAATTCTAAAACATGCCATGCTGTAAGAAAAAATGCAGCAGCACAACATTTTATTTCATATTGATGTAGCAAAGCTTCATTACAAAGTTTTGTATATTTATAAACTCATATTTTAGCTGTGCTAGTAAGTGCATAGCTGCTGCTGTTTTGTGTTTCCCCCCCATCACACGTGCACAGTCTTTTCCACGAGATTTCCCTTACTACCTGCCTTTACAAACTCTTAGCAAGTAAGGAAAGTCTATATATTCTGAAACTTCTGTTGTACTCGAGAAAAATTGCATCATTTTCAACCTGAGATTTCAGATATCCCTATTTAAGACAAAATATTCTGAAAGACAAAAGTTGTCCTTGGGAATGTAAAATGCAGCATAAACTGTCAAACAGAAAAATAGCTGCAGTGGATTTTTTTCTTAGTCCTTTTACTTTAACAGT